GGTTTGAATTCACTTATCCTAGTGTAGGGGGGTAATTCAAACCCGAGATAGTTTGGGGAGGAAACTAATAATTCGCGACAAGTTTAGGGGGGTATTAAGGCATTTTGCCTAAATATTATTGTTTGGCTCAGAGTTATAGAGAAGTGTTTGGGAAAATCCTACTGGAAAGTAGGTCGTAGTTTTTCACCTATTGAGCCAGGTGTTTTTCACGTAAAAATACTTGTGTTCTTTACTTTCTGCATTACTCATTCTGTAGCTATAGTTTAAGGAATGCATAGACAAATCATGTCCTTCTATTATCCAGCACACGCGAAAATTGGACATCACACAAATCACTCCCCTCTTGTGTTCTATTGAAGTATAAAACATCAATTGATATTAGAGCGGGTTATCCTTGAAGAGTCTAATACCTTAGAAAAAGATCAAGATGAGTGCACCACCTGAAAATTGGAATGGGCAATCCACTACTAGGCCACCATTCTTCAGTGGCCAAGACTACTCATGGTAGAAAACAAGAATGAGAGATCACCTGTAGGCAGAAGATTATGAGCTATGAAATATAATCACTGATGGTCCACCATCACCACTAAAGAAGAATGTTGAAGGTGAGGATGTCCTAAAGACAAGAGTTGACTGCACTGCTGATGATTTGAAAAAGTGAGAGAAAAATGCTAAAGCCAAGAAATGGCTAGTCTGTGGACTTGTTCTTGATGAGTACGTAGAATCCAAGGCTGCTCTACTGCCAAGCAAATATGGGACACACTGCGTGTGACCCATAAAGGAACAACTCAGCTGAAAATATCAAGAGGAACCATGCTGTTTTCACAATATAAAAACTTTACCATAAGGGATAGAGACACCATTCAGGAGATGTACACAAGGTTCACTACCTTGACAAATGAATTAAAGTCTCTTAAAAGGATTATCTCTGAAGAAGCAAAGGTTGAGAAGATCCTAACTAGGGTTTTACTAGTCACATGGGAAAGCAAGATCACTTCCATTCTGGAGTCAAAGAACATTGCTACACTTCCTTTGGATTAGTTGATTGGAAATCTCAAAGCTTATGAACTTAGGAGGCAAACCATGAAGATGGTTTTACCTAAGAAGTAAAGGATTCTGGTACTCAAATCACTGAAGGTTCTGATTTAGAAGATGATAAAATGACAATGATAACCAAAGACTTTAAGAAGTACCTAAGGAGAGGAAAATGTTCTTCAAGAAGTGGAAGCTAGAGCAAGGCTAAATCTCCAGAGAAGCAGGTAAATGATGGGTGCTATAAATGCGGAAAGCATGATCACATGATCAAAAACTATACTTTGTGGGAGATTAAATGAAAAAAAGAGCTGAACGAAGGAACGGGTTCATCCCAAGAAAAGCAACAACAAGGGATCAACCAAAGCAATGGTCGATGTTTGGGAATATCGCTCAGATGAGGGTTCTGATGATGATGATGAACGAGCTCTAATGGCTATTGGAGAATCTGATGAAGAACCTAAGATAAGTGTCCTTCAAAAGAAAGATAATCTGAATTACTGATGGAGTTAATTGATGAGTTTGAAGATGTTAATACTGAAAAGGAACAACTATCAAAGGAGTGTGTCATTTTGAAAGCAAAGTACAAAAACCTGGAACTTAGGGCTTGTGAAACTGAAAATAAAAATATTATTTTAAAGAACCAGGTTCATGCACTTTATACAACTGTCTTAGAACTTAGATCTGAAAATCTGAAACTAAAGTTAGGAACATGTAAAGAGATAGCTAGTGTGACACAACTCACACTAGAAGAAGACTTAGGAAAGGCAAAATATGAATTATATAAACGGGATGAATAGGTAAGAGCTTTGAAAGAGGACTTATCTAAGGTTAAGCATGAGCGGGATAGAACACGCAAATAGAATAGGTCCTCTGATGCACTTTTATGGCTACAAGAACACCATAGTAGAACAGAAGGGGACTTGGCTTTGGGAACTCAGCACCTAAATGGAATTCCAAAAGCAAGTACCTCACACTCCCTGAGATTAAGATTTACACTCACTGTGGTAACACTGGACACTGTAAGAATGAAAGTGTTGCATAAGAAAATGCAAGTCTAAGGAACAAAAAAAATATTCTAGGAAAAAATAGGCTGCCAAGTTGGGCAAAA